AAAAAGGTGAACTTCAAACTCTTGTATGAATTCAAAACCACATACTTCAGATAAGGAAACTACAAAACACTTGATTTGAGGCGAACATGAAAAGCGAATGATCAAAGAAAAGAATGTCAGGTTGTGAACTTATGAGAACTGACTTTCTGTTTCAGAATGTTCTGAATACACATCACGATGAGCCGATAGACTCTAGCTCCAGGCTGTAAAATACGATAAAACTGATTGTCAGATGCTTTGTAGAAGTCAGAAATGGTTTGAAGGCAAAGAAAATTAAAAGATTCCGAGTTGTTTGGATCCTTCCTGTTATCAATCTTCGTTTGTTTACGAGCCCGTCGTTTCCGATAGCCGATGCTCACTCGCGGTCGCCCGGTGAATAAATTTCGCGAACTTTAACGCCTTTGTCATCAAGAAAGAGTTAATTTCGGACGAAACCAAATGTTTAACAAATTTCTCGTCAAATTTTACCACTAAATCACGATATACAGATAGAAACTTTCGCTAAATAAACAAACCGGGCAGCATCCATATTGTTCGGACTAACTCGGAATAAACCAAGGGTCGTCATCTAATCGGACATCACAAATCGGCGTTTGCGCCAACGGCCCGGATTCAAATAACGTTTTTGAGACCTTCAATTTTTGGTGTTTTTAAAGTAAAATTTCTCAGGCCAGAGAGCTCAAAAAAATCTGTAAAAAATTCTGTATTCCCATTTCACTAAGGACTTTCATAATATGTAAAAAAAAATTCAGCCGAACTGGCTCATTATGAAATTGATAGGATGGAAAGAAAAGACCATGAACAGAGTAGGATGGAGACGGGTCACCTTGGAGGCCACCACCCCGGGCTGTAGCGCCATTGGTAAGTAAGCTAGTAATATACAGGGTGACCCCAAAGTCTTAGGACACCCCTGTAACTTTTGAACGAATTGAGATAGAGACTTGAAATTTTGACAGTGCTCCTGTGTCGAAATAAACAACTTTTTTCACTCCCCAAAAATTTTTGGGCCCGCCTTTGAGAAGGGGCCACTGACTTTTTTTTTGTACCTAACTTTTTTTTTTCAAATGGGAACCCCTATCTTGTGACACATCGTTGGATAGGCAATCAAAAAAGAAAATGTTTGGCGCTAAGTTCAGGTGGATATCTCAATTTTGGACAAGATGGCGGCGAAAAATTGGCGGAAAACCAGTTATAAGGTTTTTCAGAGGTTCTCACCAAAGAAATTACGGAAAACCTGTTATTCGAGGGTTACTTGACAGGGCAAAGACGAAGTTTACATCAGGTTGTCAAAATCCAAGAGCTTTTCCTAGATGGCGGCCTATCAAAATGGCGGTATCCCCATCCTAAAGGGTTTCCAGGGGTTTTTGCTGTTAAAAATGCGCAGAAGTCTGCATTCGAGGGTTATTTGACACGGGATAAACGAATTTGACATCAGGTTGTCAAAATCCCGCAGCCTTTCCAAGATGGTGGTTCGTTAAAATGGCGGGAACTCAGTGATTAAGGGTGTTCAGGGGTTTTTGCTGATAAAAATGCGCAGAAGTCTGCATTCCAGGATGATTGGACACGGAAAATACGAATTTGACATCAGGTTGTCAAAATATCACAGCCTTTCCAAGATTGTGGCTTATTAAAATAGCAGGAACCCCGTTATAAAGGGTTGTCAGGGGTTTTTGCTGTTAAATATGCGCGGAAGTCCGCATTCAAGGGTTATTTGACACGAGGAAGACAAATTTGACATCAGGTGCTTCAAAAGCTCAAAGCTCTTCCAGGATGGCGGCCGATCAAAGTGGCTGAGAATCTACATTTCGGGTTTTAACAGATAATTTTCCTATGAGCTCGATAAACAGGGGTTCTTTAACCTGTAATTAACTAGTTTGACATTAGGTGTCAAAAATGTTGGAGCCCTTACGAAATTGCGGCCAAACAGTCATAACGAGAAGCAAACAATGCGCTTAGTGATCGCTGAATCGTAGAATTCAGAGCGTAGCTCTCAGCCAGTTGAAAAACAAATTTTCTGCTTTGTAATTTCAACTGCCGAGGACACATCACCAGGAGGTGGCATATTGAGAAAATTCGTCCATAAGAAATTGAATGAATTCCACCTGTTGAAAACGTCTAATTCTTGTTTGTAACCGCGAGAAAAAATCGGGAAATTCCTGCGAGAATATGGTTATTGACGTCCAGCAACATGGAATAGGCGAGTAGGATTGGCTCTCTTGCTTCATCCAGGACTCCAGCCAGAGCATATTATAGCAGAACTTAAACGATCATACATCGGGGAAAATCTTTAAACGAAAGGAGAACTTATCAGGAATTAATAAACAAAAATTGAAACTGTAATGAAATAATACACTTCCGCCAAAGTAACACAAATGCACTTCTTGGTAAGAATAGATAAAATAAAAACTGTGAGGAAATGAAACACTGCCATACCATAGTAACACATATCATCAATCAAGAATAAAAAATTCCACTTCAATGGCTGCATCAGCCTCGCTATCGAGCACTGCATCAGCCATCGTCACCTCTTCATTTTTTATTGTCGAAACGGAGACCGTTTACCTCAACTCTTGCTCAAACTTATGTCCATTTTTTTCTTGACAGTGGTACAGTCGATTCTCAAATTCCTTGCAAACGTTAGCCAACATTTCAGGGGTGATTTTCGCACATTCATCGACGATCCCTTGCTTCAAGTCCTCCAAATCGCGTGGCGGTGTTTCAAAGACCTCACTTTTAAGATGACCCCAAAGGAGAAAATCGAGAGGGGTGAGATCCGGGGATCTTGCTGGGCATTCAATAGTCCCTCGACGTCCAATCCAATGATTTGGAAAATTTTGATTTAGATAATTGCGAACTTGTAAGGCGAAATATGGAGGAGCGTCATCCTGTTAGAACCATGGGTCATAGTCCTCATCAGAATCTTCAATTGTCTCAATTATTTTTGGCACATTTACCTTTTCAAGCATAGTCAGATAGGTATCAGCAAATCACCGGGAATGAAAAACGATCCGATGAGACGGACGAAGAACGGACGATTCTTAATTAAACGTCAATAATCATATTCTCGCAGGAATTTCCCGATTTTTTCTCGCGGTTACAAACAAGAATTAGACTTTTTCTACAGGTGGAATTAATTTAATTTTTTAAGGACGGTTTTTCTTAAAATGCCTCTAATGGTTGGATGGCGGAGAGGCTCAGGAGGGACTCGAAGCGAACCCTCGAATTCCAGGTTTTCCGTAATTTCTTTGGTAAGAACCTCTGAAAAACCTCATAAACTGGTTTTCCGCCAATTTTTCGCCGCCATCTTGTCAAAAATTGAGTTATCGACCTGAACTTTGCGCCAAACATTTTCTTTTTTGATTGCCTATCCAACGATGTGTCACATGATAGGGGTTCCTATTCGAACAAAAAAATTAGGGTCCTTAGCGCCCCCTCCTCAGAGGGGATCAAAAAAGTTGTTTATCTTGATACAGGAGCACTGTCAAAATTTCAAGTCTCCATCTCAATTCGTTCAAAAGTTATAGGGGTGTCCTAAGACTTTTGGGTCATCCTGTATCTACAAAAAGCTTACATAAATGCTTGTCTAAATCATTGCCATTGATTAACTTACCAAGACCCCACTTACTTTATTGTTAATATCTCTAAAATTATTTAAAGTGCTTTGACAATTTGTCGAAAATCTTTTGAGCTTGTTCTTATTCTAAAGTTGACAACATTTTTTCTTAAGTCCCACCTGTTGGCTGCATTAACTCATAATTTTCTGCAAAGGTAAATCTATCTCCTGCTGTGCTGAATTTTTTAGCCTCCACAAGCTGAAAGTGGTAGAATAGAGTAAATGGGGCACTTTTACAGAGCTGCAAAGTAGCCTCTCATTGCCAGTGTGATTTTACGGTGCTGTAGGCCAATTACTGAAAGCTGAAAGCAGTCCCATAAAACATCGGAATGTGATATGGACTGCATTTTGCAATTTGGAACTATAAATTTTGGCTCTCCTGGAGAACCACTTATGTGTTTAGGGAAACTAATGGCACATACGTTGTTTTTAAACCGGGGTAGAATTTATAGTTCCAAATTGCAAAATGTAGTTCATATATGTATTATACAGGGTGGCCCATACCTGTGTCCTTTTTTCCGAAGAAAAGGTGGTTTTGAAGCTTTGGAAGGAGGTTAGTAGGATTGGGAGTCGACCCCATAGAATTCGAATTACATATCTGTGGAAACCCTGCCTCTTTTCAGGGGTTTTTTTTGGGGGGGGGGATCGGTTCGAGAAACCCTTTTTTTAAAATCGCTTGACGGCTACATCAGAAAAGTTGCTTCTCATATTGTAAACGGACCCAGGTGTTTTCTTTTTCCGAAATTCGAACTCCCTGATTCGAACACCCCTGATTTAGATTTCTATATGTGTTTTTTTTTTCCTTTTTCTTTTTACAGGTAAAAAGACGTTGGGATGATGATGTCGTATTTAAAAACTGTGCTCGATCAGAACCTGAAAAAAAAACGAATCATTTTATCAATGACTCCCTACGTTCTGAGTTTCATAGGAAGTTCATGGAAAAATATGTGAAATAGAAATTAAATTGTTTACTTCTGTTACAGCATGTACATATTCATTTTGTACACTCTAATATTACCTATTATTTTTGGAGAGCTTGGAAACTTGACAGGCGGACTTTCTGTACAGAACTTAATTATTTTCAGAAATTATACCATTGAGAGAGCTCGCAATGGAGAAAAGTACATGGATTGATTCATGCCTCAAAAGGTCCAACTCGTTTGCCCCAGAGACACTTTTTTAATAAAATTATGTCATTTTTCCACCATATTACTTTCCTTCAATGGACCACTAGACAAGCTACGAATTCCAGCGTTCTGATAAATGTATCTTAACCAAAATTTCACGTAAAACATTGCACGTACAACGAAAATTACCGATATCAACTCCTTACGAAGATATTTAATGATTCTTGATGCGTAAGTTCAAACCACCCGCTCACGAAAACTCAATGCTCTACGTAATTCACATCGCGCGCTAAACGTTATCATGGTAGTATCTACGATTTAAAAATCTTGCAACCTCAATTTTGACGCTTTGGCTCAGCTATAGCAAATTGCTTATAGTTTGAACAACACATGGTGGGAAATGAACATTGCTCGATTGAGAAGCTTGCTGAAACCGTTGTAGTGCACGATTTGACTCACGTAGAGCTTTGTGTTTCTTGTGAGCGGGCAGTTCAAATTCCTCGTAACCACTGTGAAATAAAAACGTTAATATCTTCGTTAGGAATTGGTTTCAGTAATTTTCGTTGTGCGAATCGTTTTCTACGTGAAATTCTGCTTAAGAAACATGTATCAGATTGCTTAAATTCGTACCTTGTCTAGTGGTCCATTCTTATCCAAAAGTTCTTCTTATTTCTCTGTATTATAATTAGTGTATTGTAATTATTTATCATGATTATAATTTGATTTGTTTTCTAATATTATCTCAAATAATTAACCATTGTGCTTTCTCACCATTTGCTCAGTATCTATTATTTTTTATTCAGTAAGGTTCCCCGTTTCTTGTCGGCACGGTAGTGTCAACCAGAGATGGAAAGTGAAATTTCATAAGGCTCGAATAAATTTCATAAAAGTTGAAATTTATTAATTTTTCTTAAAATTATTGATTAAACCTTTGGAGATCTGAAAGCGTTTCAGATGGTCTTTCTGTTGATGCTGTGGTATTATGCTACTCGTCTGAAGGTGCCAGACACAAAGAGGGGGCCAAAAGGGGAGTTTAGAGAGAAAAACCCCAACCCAACCTCTTAACTAAACGAAAACATTTGCAACGCACGAATGTTTTAGGCTTGAGGTAAAACATTTCAAAATTTAGAATCACTGTTTCTAGGCGTTTCTTAGCCTCCTGAATGTATCCCCAAAAGTTTCAATAAATTTCATGAAATTTCACTCAAATAAATTTCATGAAATTTTCCATCTCTGGTGTCAACACTGACAAAATCACAGACCTTGCAAGTTTAGGACACAAGATGCAGGATGCGTCACTGTGACCCTCATCCAGCCTCCTTTCATATGCGCTAGTCTCTTTATCTTTTCCCCTCTAGCCTCTCACCCAGCTATTTTTACGATCAAGACTGGTTTGGCTGTAGCTCTCTGCTGTGTGCACGTTTCTTTTTTGCTCAGCCCATTACGCATTTCCCCAATTTTGTCACCTCACATATTTAACTTTGCACGGTGCTCCTGAACTCACTTTAAATGCGACTTTGTTGTACATCAAAAATTGAGGTTGGAGGTTGTAGTGGGGTACTCCCTGATGGGTTTTTGGGCAATTTCGAAATAGGTTGTCGGAGCTCCTGGAAAAATAATCGCATTTTTGTGGTTTTTTAGGGGTAAAATAGGAAAATTGGCCTCGGGGCGACAAATTAAACCCCCTCTCCCTCATCCTTGCCCTGACCGATCTGAATTTTTAGTATGTTTTCACCTAGTATAAGATGTGACTTTTCTGAAATTTTCATGCCCATACACAATTTTCTGCCCCCGCGGCAGCGTTGCCAAGTTGCGAACTCCAAAATATCGAATTTAATGATAAAATGAAGGTTTCGGAGTGTGATTTCCATTCAAAATCAAAAATTCACATTGTAAGTTGTAGCAGGGTACTGCCTGATGGGGTTTTGGCCAATATCGAAGTAGAGTGTTTGAGTTGTTTGGAAAATAATCGAATTTTTGTGGTTTTTTAAGGGTAAAATAGCACACTGGGCATGGGGCGACGAATTAAACCTCTTCTCCCTCATCCTTGCCGTGACCGATCTGAACTTTTAGTATGTATTAACCTGGTATAAGATGTGACTTCTCTGAAATTTTCACGCTCATACAAAATTTTTTGCCCCCCGCGGCAGCGTTGCCAAGTTGCGAACGCCAAAATATCGAATTTCATGATAAAATGAAGGTTTCGAAGTGTGATTTCCATTCAAAATTTCACTAGGAATGTGCAAGCTGAGAGCTTTCGATTAGAAAAGACATATTTGAGCAATTTAGAGTTGCAGTGTTGCCAGCTTTCGATTTAAAATTCGTCAAAATGACCCAAATCGCGTTGCAACCTCAAGCGCTGGATTTTTATTTCGTTCAGAATTGGTTATTACGGTTCTTCTGTACTCTATGAATTTAGGTACCATGAAAATTATGCCATTACTTACTTGATGGGTGCAGCTAACTCAAAAAGAGAGGCTGGATAAAGCGATGAGTCGGGGGAAAACGAGCGGTTCGGGTTGACAGAAAGTTCTTAAATCTACTCAATCACCAGAAAGTAGAATTTGAGAACTTTCTCCCACCCCCCAAACCTTATCCCTGTTGCAGTCAATCCTTTGAACATCTCGTGTTTTTATTTTTCATGTTTTTGGGGGAAAATTCGGGGGCAAAATTTCAGATAAGATGTTCAAAGGATTGACTGCAACAGGGATAAGGTTTGGGGGGTGGGAGAAAGTTCTCAAATTCTACTTTCTGGTGATTGAGTAGATTTAAGAACTTTCTGTCAACCCGAACCGCTCGTTTTCCCCCGACTCATCGCTTTATCCAGCCTCTCTTTTTGAGTTAGCTGCACCCATCAAGTAAGTAATGGCATAATTTTCATGGTACCTAAATTCATAGAGTACAGAAGAACCGTAATAACCAATTCTGAACGAAATAAAAATCCAGCGCTTGAGGTTGCAACGCGATTTGGGTCATTTTGACGAATTTTAAATCGAAAGCTGGCAACACTGCAACTCTAAATTGCTCAAATATGTCTTTTCTAATCGAAAGCTCTCAGCTTGCACATTCCTAGTGAAATTTTGAATGGAAATCACACTTCGAAACCTTCATTTTATCATGAAATTCGATATTTTGGCGTTCGCAACTTGGCAACGCTGCCGCGGGGGGCAAAAAATTTTGTATGAGCGTGAAAATTTCAGAGAAGTCACATCTTATACTAGGTTAATACATACTAAAAGTTCAGATCGGTCACGGCAAGGATGAGGGAGAAGAGGTTTAATTTGTCGCCCCATGCCCAGTGTGCTATTTTACCCTTAAAAAACCACAAAAATTCGATTATTTTCCAAACAACTCAAACACTCTACTTCGATATTGGCCAAAACCCCATCAGGCAGTACCCTGCTACAACTTACAATGTGAATTTTTGATTTTGAATGGAAATCACACTCCGAAACCTTCATTTTATCATTAAATTCGATATTTTGGAGTTCGCAACTTGGCAACGCTGCCGCGGGGGCAGAAAATTGTGTATGGGCATGAAAATTTCAGAAAAGTCACATCTTATACTAGGTGAAAACATACTAAAAATTCAGATCGGTCAGGGCAAGGATGAGGGAGAGGGGGTTTAATTTGTCGCCCCGAGGCCAATTTTCCTATTTTACCCCTAAAAAACCACAAAAATGCGATTATTTTTCCAGGAGCTCCGACAACCTATTTCGAAATTGCCCAAAAACCCATCAGGGAGTACCCCACTACAACCTCCAACCTCAATTTTTGATGTACAACAAAGTCGCATTTAAAGTGAGTTCAGGAGCACCGTGTTTGGGGATGCAAATGACTCGCATCTTGTGTCCATGAGATGTGGAAGCAGAAGTGTGAGAGACAACGGGAATCATCGTGAAAGTTTAGGAAATATCGCAGATTGGGATTTGAAAACTAAAATAACTGGTTTCTAATTCATGTGAGACTTAACTGTGTATCTTACTCCCTGGAACAGAAATATTTGTGAGTGCCGTATAATTTCAACTTATCTCCAAGCTTCCTTCTTACTTGGGTGCGTTTTAACTCCCCTCCCCTTTCTTCTGCCCTGTCTCTCCCATATGGAAGCAACTTTCTAAAGAAACTTCAACCCCAATCAATCATTTATTCGCTTCCCTGAATTCTATGAAGACTTCAGATTACGATTTTCGTGTCAAAGGAGTTATCTTTGATAGTGATTACTCTATCACTTCGTTCTCTAATGCTGGTTACACTGAATTATTTTTTTTTATTGGAGCCCTCAATAAATAGACCAGTTTGTAATCCGTCGAGGCATGGATTATGAGTGGATAAAATATTCAGATGTGTAAGTACCTACTAGGGTTCTTGATTATGCTTGCATTGTACATCCTTACAATTTGGTGAGGATTTTTGTAAGTCATCTAATCTTTCATCTTCATTCAGAAGAATGGAGCTCCTGTATGGATCAAGGATGTGGAAAGCAAAAGGGAAGAGAACAAAGGAGAAAGAAAAAAGAGAAGAAAGTAAGAAAACATACGATCCGAGAGGCGACTGCCCAATACGATGGAAAATAAACAGACGGTCAATAAAAATGGAAGAAAGTTTCGAGGAAATCCTAAGGTGTAGGCAAGCCATAGGGAAGGGAGTAAAGGGGTATGGAAAAGTTCGTGATGGAGCTATACAGAGGGATGGAAAATCAGGTGCTACCGAGGAGAGACACGGTGATGCTGCTGTGACCAGTGCGACACGATTCAACCTCTTCAGCGCAGTGATAGTGAAGAACCTCCTATCTACCATGCATTAGTACAGGGAGAAACAACGTTTCTCTTCTTTGGGCCTCAGAGACAGCTTTTATGAATTCTGATTTTTTGGACACGCTTGAATGGTTCTTAGCTTCATTCTTGCCACATTTGAAGGAAATCGCTTCTACAGTTTTTTGTAATGTGCGGGTAATGAATCGGTGCAGTAGCTTCACATTTTTAACTAGCTGTGATTAGCTCGCTTTGCGTGCTGTCACGCCTAGCCGGGGAGTGCCCCTAGATCCCTCCTTCGCTTCGCGATGAACTTCCGACTCGCTCCGTTCCGCGAGCTGCATCACATAGCTTTTAACTTCAATGAGAGGACAATATTTTCGTCCTCTTTTTCACCGAATTGCACAAAAATCGACAAATCAGGAGCAGAGAAA